ATCTTTTTTCCTAAATCTCTGTTGCTGGTTACTGTCATTATTACTGTCAAGCAATTAAACCTATTTACTTGTTCATGTGTGTAATTACTTGTTACTATTTTGGTTTCCACATTTAAGTATTGTATCAAATATCGGTGACGATGCTCCGTTAAATAAAGATTTTTCTCATGACGTATTCCGTAGTCCTGTAAGACTTATTACTGTTACGTGTTGTAACAAAACATTTTCCCTAAAATTTCCAGATGCTTTCATGACTAGGGGCTCGACCCCAAGATTTACTGACTGACTGACCGTCAGTCGCAATGTGACTTTGGCTTTAAATTTTGACCAGACAGTTGACAGTGGACAGTTGAGTTATTGAAGTTGCCGAGAACAGTTCAGTCTGCATCTGACCTTAGAAGAGTAGTCAGTCTTCAGTTTGGCTTTGGCTACAGCAGAAGGAATAATTGTGATACTGAAAGTGATAATAGCCGGTCACGGTAGCCGAGCGGTCTAAGCCATGTACTGTCTTCGCTCGCTTGGAAACCGGGATCGTGGGTTCGGATCTGTTTCCTGTGAGGTACGAACTGAATTCTTATATATTATTCTTATACACTGCCGGTCACGGTAGCCGAGCGGTCTAAGGCATGCACTGTCTTCGCTCGCTCGGAAGCCGGGATCGTGGGTTCGGATCTGTTTCCTGTGAGGTACGGACTGAATTCTTATATATTATTCTTATACACTGCCGGTCACGGTAGCCGAGCGGTCTAAGGCATGTACTGTCTTCGCTCGCTCGGAAGCCGGGATCGTGGGTTCGAATCCCACTCAGGGCATGGATGTTTAGTTTGTGTGTGTGCGTTTTTCTGTGTTTGTGTACAGGTAGAGGCCTTACGACGAGCTGATCACCCACCCAAGGAGTCCTACCGAATGTGTAAGATCTAGACTAACCGAAGTGAACGGAGAAGTTCATGGAGGTAGGCCTAAGCCCACTGGGGCTGTAGTACCAAGGAAAAAAATGATAATAATTTTAGTTGCTAGTGTAGAGAAGAGTGGCCAAAACATATCCGCTCAAATCCAAAACCTGCATGAATTTATTTGTCGCATTACATAGGCAATATAGTCAATAGCGTCAATATAGTATATATATTTCTTCGTACTGGGAAGCTTCCAGGGGCTTTAGTGATGTTAGTTAGAGATTGTAGTGATCATGGTCTGCTTTAGTTAACTATAATCCGCCATATTTCTTCGCTAAATGAGGAAGATGTAGCAGATAATCGGGAGAATTCTCTACGGCATTCGACCCAACGAACTATGAATTGAATATGACGTGCTATTCAACTAGGCAACTCAGTATGCAAATCCTGTACACTGCGGTGTAATTGTTTCGTATGGTTCCACGCAAAGTCTGCGGGGTGACTCAACTGTTAGTCCTGTTTTCCTATTCTGCGTAGCGTATGTGGAGAGCTGTTGGGGGTTTATCTGATCTTGTACAAATAATACACGTATGCATACTGCACTCTGCTCTTCTGAGGACAAGCATTCTTTCATAACAGATTGTCATTTCATTTTCCCCTTATTGAATAAATAAACTGGTGTACCCGAGTTTTGTTGCAAACAGAAATGCAAATGTCACGACTTGCAGAATGAGTGTTAATCTCTGTAGACGCGGCTTCCAAAGAGCAGGGCTGCCATCTGGTTGACTATAATTGTACCCTGCAATATTATTAGAAGTTAATTTGTAATATCAGAGAGATATGACTTATGCGATAGTCAATTTTTTCCCTATTTAATGCTTTCATCTCATGATAACTGTGAAATTGCATCCAGTAATGAAACGATACCCTCTTTGTCGATCTTAGGACGGTTCCTGCATTGAATATTTATTTTCTAGCGAATGCAATATATTGTACCATACGGACCCGTTGATAAGTAATGACTCGGTAAACAACACCCATTACTAGGCAACATATTCTTGATACACAGCAATGGAATAACTTGGAAGATGTGTTTTCTATGCGGTTCGTGCGGCAGATGTGTGACTCAACAATAGAACTGTTGGAAGCGGAATTTTCTATGCAGTCCGTGCCGAGGTCTTATAAGCAGGACAAGTCTAGAATTTAGTTAGACCCGTGTGGAGGTGGGGTCGAATACCTCCACCGTGACCCTGCGAGTCGAAGGAAGCGACAAAAAGGGAAGTCTCAAATCTGAGACAGTAAAATATGATCGTGAGTACCAAGGGACTTGGACCCGAGAAAGACTGCGCTGGCAAGAGCCAGCAGCATATACAAAAGACAGACCCGTCCTCTCGTAAGAGAGGGCGCCCCACAAAAACAAGACAGTACCTGTCAAACAGTAATAAATATCTGATCATAAACCCCAGATGGGGTTCGACACCAAGACTTACTGACTGACTGACTGACACCGTTAGTCGCAATATGACTTGACTTTGACTTGAATTTAGTTAGTTGTGAGACAATCGCAAAGTAGTAAGGATAGGAACACGGAAGTTGATAGGAAACACGGCGTTGGAAGCCGTTATGAGTCAACGACTGGTGAAGACACAGCAGACTGAGGAGATTTAGTACTTGCTGTTGTTAACTGGTGAGTAGTGAATTAGCGATAGCGCTATATTTACGTGTAATTACGATCTGTAAATGTTCAATAAATGCAATTACCAATACAAAGCCGCCTGTCTATAGTCATTCTATCACATAACATTATGATAGTGTTGATTGAATAATTATACTACAGATCTTAAGGAAGATGTGTAACTTAAAGTACAACCTGCATTTTCATTTATATCAAGAAGATAATATCATATAATGGTTATGACTGATTTCTATGGGCTGCGACAACTAAGTAACCTGTAAACCAGACAGAACTAGTCGATGTCGTTATAAATATCTCCATTTTAATAAGAAATTTCGTATTTTTTACGTTCGTACTTTCATAAAAGCTCATAATTCTCTTTTGCTCTATGAACCACTTCAAATATATCTTCACTTTGCAGATAATCATTCGTTTTTGCTACAAATAACTACGTCTCGCGATTCACCCTCCCAATACAACACAGCACTGCGACAGTACAGCACGCCCCTCGTAACGTAGAAGTAACGGTTGGACATCCATAACTACCCTCAGTGTTTATGTAGCCTGTGTTTCAACAATTGTGGTGCGCGTTTGTAATGTTTTATGCTTAAACACTCTCCTTGAGCCTGCTCATTCCACTCAGCCGTTGTTACATGTCTGCGTGTTTACACCGAAGAACTTCACGAGGACAGGATTAGTGCTCGAGACGTAATTTTTATATTATAACCTGAACAGAAAAGTGCCAGGTTTTCTTATCGTAATAAAACTGCAAGACAATTAGATAAAACCACAGAAAATTTGTAAGGGTTGAGGAAACACTGTCGCGAAATGTTTCAGTTGTTGTGGATAAAATATTAAAATATAGAACCATGCTGGATAATTTTATATATTTCGTATGTTTGTAGAATTGTTAATTAATTTTAAGTATTCGGTTACACATACTACACGTACATTTGAATATATCTTTCTGATTCAGATATATGTACATATACGGCGCAAATTAATTCGCGAACAAGGGCTCCATAGTTTAATTACTCATTAAAAAATACAAGTTCAAAATAATGTAGGCATAAAACGTATGTCCTGTGACGTTTGTTTTCCAAGATTCACGTCATAACAAAGTTGCTCAAGCTATCAAGTGATCAAATCAGGCTAGCGTCTTAGGCCAAGGGCACACCAAGAAAACTGGCAACCGCAAAGCAACCGCAAAGCAACCGCGATTTCCGAGAATTGTTATCAGCTTAATTCGTACACATGTAAGTGAATGGAGCAATGCAAATTGAGGAACGGCAACGCGGCTCGCGGAAAGACTGAGATATTCAATTTCTGGCAACTGAACATGCCAATCTTCTCATAATTGCATTTCAGATGTTCTGTAACACGCTTCAGTGATTCATTTGTTTGTTACGATTACACGAAAGGTTGACGAAGCTGCTAATTTTGTTTTTGTGCAGTTCATTGAGCAACATCCTGGCATATATGACAAACGCCACACAGACTGTGCTAGGCGGGACAAAATAGATTTGGTTTGGGAAAGAATTTCTCATGGGGTGAATTAGTCTGGATCCATGTTAAGTTCTTTCGAAACAATATAAGCGCTTCAATTTAAATTGTCACAGAAGAAGGGATGCACCCAGTGTCATCTTTTCCTAATATTGTATTTAAGAAACCTGTTGCATTAATATATCATTTATTTCACTTATGTTTCTGTCTTAAATACAATTTATTACTCATATATATAGTCACCCTTCTTAATCAGTAAGTGTCCTCTGTATACGGCCATCATCAGGTGTCCTATATCTTGCTAAAATTTTTGCACTGTATATCAAAATTTCGTATCACGTGTGAACGCGATATTTCCTGATTAAAGTAAATTGACCTTAATTAAAACTAATTAATTAACATCGAAATATTTTTCTTATGGTCGTCGTTTTGTCTTCTCACGCCGTCTCAACCGATTTCAACTACGGCCATATTATGACAGGATCAGTATTATTATCTTAAATTTCAGAAGGTAAGTGCACGAAATTAAAAAAAAATATAATCATGCATTACGTCGAACTAATATACTCATTTCAGATCACTTAAGATGATTTGAGCAACTAATCAAGTATAAGTTTCCTCAGTGTACTCCTGCTAAGCTGAAAACCAGTTTCCTGCTTGAAATCGGCGACATTTCACAAAAATTGGGGTTGCGTTGCGGTTGCCAGTTTCCTTGGTGTGCCCTCGCCTTAGTTACATTTGTTTGAAGCGCCCTTCGTTCATTTTCAAGTCACACGGCAGTGCGTCGCGTTGAGTTGCTCGTAAGTTTTGTTGTCTCTTTATAACCCAGTACGGCCGTCACGTGTTTGGAGAGAGAGAGAGAACAATTGACCTTGACAAGTGAATCTCGGCTACTTAGCGCAATATTTTGTGGAGTACGGTGTGCGGGGGTTGTTCGGTCAGTTGCAATCGAAGAAGGCGGGAGTGTTGTGTACCCTCCGTAAGCGATAATGCGGATTATTTTTAACTTGTGTCATTATTAGTGCAGTGATAATAAGCCCGTTATAAAATACACACACAGCGAATAGTTTAGGGAAACATAGTAAAAGTACGTGAATAAAGTTATACTCTCTTATGGACTTCTTAAAAGTTTAGTCCAAACGTAATGGCTGACGATTGTCGAGTGTATATGTGTACCCCGAGGAACCTGCAGGAACACGCAGTTAACACGGGAAAAGATGGCGAGATAAAATTAAGGTACGTGTAAAGTTTAATAACAATATCAGAGGCGGATAAATATTACATAAAGCAAGAATAGAAGTTGGTCTTGTTACCATATTTTAGTACGCCAGCCGACCTGAATTGTGTCATGGAGGATTATCTGCAAACAGAATTCTTATATTCAGGTTTTTACAATACTAAATTATCTTTGAAAAACTTCTGTTTACTTGCAGAATGAATTAAAAAAAAGCGAATTTGAATTGATCACATCTATTACATAGGCCGATGCAAGTAACCTTGACTTCTGACGTGCCGTAGTTCAGGCGGTGAGTCGCCGGCTTCCTAAAATGGCTCCCGTGTTCGAGCCCAGATCAGGTCATGTGGGATTTGTGGTGGAAGAAAGTTGCACTGAGGCAGGAATTCTGCTAGGATTTTGGTTTCCCTTGCTAATCCTGATTCCATTTCATACCCATCCGGGGATCGTAACACCCCACTCCAAGATATTAAAAAATTAATTAACCTTGGTTTCAGTAAAATGCCGGTAAATTCTTCTTCTTAATATAATTCTGTTGAATATGTTATCTAAGATTATCCGAAGATAATACTGACACAAAACTTGTTTAACAGAAGTAACTTAGTCTCATGAGCGCGAACAGTAGGGAGTGGCGCCTACTGGACTCCAAAACATGCTCATAAAACTGACTAGGAAAATCGCGAAGAAGGAACGAAATAGACCAGAGATTCAAAATAAAGTTGAAATGGAGACAACAACATATTTATGCCGACATAATCACATGGTAGAAAAAAAATGCAGTTTTATTTCGTCAAAAGTAATTATGAATGTGTTATATATATATATAAAACTGTTAAATAGGAATGACATGGTGGGAAGAGTAGGGAAATTGTGTTGAATGCTGTACAGAACAACTCCGTAGCTTTTAGCCCGCAAGCGAACTATACCGACAGAACGACCGTCGCTTGTCGACGAAGTTAGTGTCAACATTTGCGGATAGAGTGTGTCACGTGGTCAGGGCAACGGATTCCCACGGCTGTTAATCTCGGTTTTCTAGACCGGAACTGTTATTCATTCATTCAAGTAGCTCCTCATTATCCTCACGAGGCTGAGTGGGCCCCTTTCCAGACCCACTACTTCTCAAAAAAACCTGGTAGTGCCGGGAATCGAACCCGGGACCTCTACATCTGTATATAGGGACTCTGAACAGTAGACCACAGAGGCGACCATACACTGCAGATATTTTGAAATATTAAATTAAGAGGAAAATAGTTCTCCCCAGATGAAAGAATATTGTGAACATGGAAGGCAAAAATTATCCCAGAGCAATGTTATGACCAAATTTTTCGGCTTTTATAAGAAAACCTAATATTCGTTAGAAGAAGACCTTCAAAGCATGAACATTTTATGCAGGCTAAGTCACAGGAAGGTAACGGATATCCAAGATGCCCTCGAGGTGCTAAGGCGTGGAAGCTACGAAGCAACGAACTTTTAATAAATCGCCAGAGGTAGATGAAAGACGCCACTAATTTTATGCAGGATACTGGGAAAATATTAAACATGAACTATTGCAGATGTGTAATCTGAATTTCAGAAAGGAAGGGTGAACATTTCACAAAAGGCAGAGATCATTTTATGCGCGCTTAACACACTTAAGCCCGGTCACGGTAGCCGAGCGGTCTAAGGCATGTACTGTCTTCGCTCGCTTGGAAACCGGGACCGTGGGTTCGAATCCCACTCAGGGCATGGATGTTTAGTTTGTGTGTGTGCGTTTTTCTGTGTTTGTGTACAGGTAGAGGCCTTGAGACGAGCTGATCACCCGCCCAATGAGTCCTACTAAATGTGTAAGATCTAGAAAAACCGAAGTGAACGGAGAAGTTCATTGAGGTAGGCATATGCCCACTGGGGCTGTAGTGCCCAGGAAAAAAAAACACTCTTAAGAGACTGTCGGAAACTTGTGCCATTCACTGGTGACTGGAAGACACATGCCAGAGTAACAAGGGTCAAATGCGACAGACTCTGACCGAGATAAAGCATTCTGCACTAAGTAACAGAACGTCAAGGCACCCAGACACGGGAGCCATTCTTAGGGAATAGCGAATAGATTGGAAGGGCTGTATGCTACTATCATTGAGTTCTGTATCTTCATTCGCTAAGATATCTCATGAGCGTCTAAACGTTACCTTAAATCAATGCAGATATGGCAACAACTTTGTAAATATGATGAAAGCATTACATGGAGGTGTACAACTCATGGACGGGGATTAACGGTCTCATGTTCTCTCCCCTTCCAAAAAGCTCTATTCGTTGTGACTGAGCATAGTTTGCTACACTTGAGTAATGAACCCACTGCTAGTGATGGTAAAGAAACTATCCCATATGTAAGGCCGCGCCATAGCTCAAGCGGATAGTCGCTGGCTTCCCACCGCGGCGGCCCGGGTTCGATCCCGGGTGTGGTCAAGTGGGATTTGTGGTGAACAAAGTGGCGCTGGGGCAGGTTTTGTCCGAGTACTTCGATTTCCCCTGCCAATCTTCATTCCACCAATTGCTCCACAATCACCCTCACATATCACCTAGGGCTGGTACAATAGGCCAGAAGTGGCCGCAGTACAAGGGACTTAGTCCCACCCCACTAGCANAAAAAAAAAAAAAAGAATCCCATATATATGTGTATACATACGGGATGTCCCAGGAGGAAAGTTTAGTATTCTAGGAGGTCAGAGTATCGGTCATTCAAAACAAAAACTTGTATATGTACATGTGCCCTACTCCGAACGGTTTCCGAGATAGAGCTGTTTCACTGTACTGTACACTGTACACTGTACAGACGAGCAACACGCCATGGCCTCACACGAGTTACACCGAGACAGAGCTATTTCACTGTGTACTGTACACTGTACACTGTACAGACGAGCAACACGCCATGTCCTCACACGAGTTACAAAGTGCATTGATGTTGACGGTGGAATTTTCGGAAATGTAAACTGTATAACTTTGTCATATGAAAAATAAATGTCAGTATTAGGGACAATATGTAATATCTGTTTCTTATGAACAGTTCTGGCATTGTGTAGTGAAATAGCTCTATCTGGGAAACCGTTCGGAATAAGACACATGTACGTATTACTTACTCATGTAGCTGAGCTCTTCTTGAGAAGCCGCCAATTCTACAGCTACTCAAGAATTTTCCAGCATTTTATGTAACCCGAAGGTTCATTACCATGTTCACAAGAGTCCTCCACCTTTCCCTATCCCGAGCCAGATGAATCCAGTCCAAACCAACCCATCCTATCTCTCTAAGATCCATTTTAATATTGTCCACCCACCTACGTCTTGGTCTTTCCAGTGGTCTCTTTCCATCTGGCTTTCCCACCAATATCCTATATGCACTCCTCTTCTCCCCCATTCGTGCTACATGCCCTGCCAATCTCATCCTCCTTGACTTGATCATTCTAATTATGCTTGAAGAAGAGTACAAGTTATGAAATGTATGTTTACTTTTTTTTTTTGTTTAGAATGACCGATACTGTGTCCTCCCAAAATATTGACCTTTCATCCTGGGAAACTCTGTATAGTTGCAGAATTCAAGCAGATGACTTCTCTATATTTGAGAGAAAAATTCAAAAGCTGCGAGAAATGAAACAAATCTATGAAAGGGGAACAAGTACAAAAACAAATTTCACCCCTTGAAACGCCCTACCTTCTAGAATGTGGGACGTTAAACATTAAATTTATAAATTTCCCCCACACAAATAAGATAACAATTCTGCGGACAAGATGCGGAAATACAGTAATTAAAAGCATCGGTGGTTAATTTGGAACCATTTATGAATCCCCGAGATTCGCAAATCTAGCAGAATGGTCCAAGGGGCGATATTTCTGACTTTAATTAAGTAAGTGCTCTGTTTGACTCTGCTGGAACACCGACTTCGCCGACTAACCGCTTTCATGATTTTCTCCATTCTCTCCAGTGAACGAAATTCACAGTCGTTACGAAAGAAGTAATGCAGACAGTTTCCCTGAATTTAATGAAGGATGTATACCGCAGATCACAAATTGTAATGTGAGTGAAACACCGAACACAGAACTGGAACACAGAAAGGTAATATGTGTCATAAAATATCTGCTGAAAGAAGCGCTATGTACCAGTGGAGGGCAGTGCGGGGCAATGCGATAACGGGCTATCCTCTCATACAATTAACGTGCCACTGGAACCCGTGTCCGAACTGCAAGCAGACAGTCGATTGCTGCACACAGTAGCAACATGTGAAGAGATGTTAGGAACATGGAGCAGGACAGAAGAAAAACCTTGCATATTCTAAAGAGCTGATGTGAAACCTATAGACTGCTATTAGCTTAAGCATCCAAGTGCCAGTCTATAGGAAAAGCATAAAACTAATGCAAGATCACGGCTCTTTTTAGCAAACATGACATATTTATGAAGTAATAAATGAAATAAACCGTTTCAACTTCACGAAAATTGAGGATGGATGACTCGTATGTCGAAAATAAGAGGACTTTCATTGGCTATACAGCCCCCTTCAGTTATTCAATATTAGAGGGGGCGGGTTTCCCCATGCACCGCGACTAGTAGTCTATTGTACGTCCCCCTTTAATTTCTACTGTCGCCATACCCTACCGGTACTGGTGCACGCTATCTCCCCTTTCTGCCAGCGAGGTCGGCCCTCTTCCNCCACTAGAGCCTATGTCACAGAAAAACTGGATCTGTACCTCCACTCCCTTCTACATCATTTCTGCCTTAATTAGATTAACATTTTAACTTTACTTACGCCTACTTGTTTTGTGGAATTCTGTCATGTTTGCTTCGCAGTTGGTCAATGTTGTTATTAGATGGAATACAAACATATTTGNTGAATTTTTCCGCCCTTAAAAAATTCCATGAGTCATAAGGTTACCCCTAGACTACGGAGGCCTACTACAGCCCCCTTGGGCCTTGTCCTTTGTCTTTTTTTCAGTTTCATGATCATTTTATTCTTTCCGAAATTCTGTCCAGACTGTCTCT